ACTTGACATGCGCTTGATATTGTGAGCAAGATGCCAAGCGTTGCTAACGGTGGCAATCCATTTGGAGGCCCAGTTACGGCTTCTAATGCCGGCGGTCAAGTCGATGAGAGTGCTTTCAAGAATATGTGGAACTTCAATCTTGCGGACGCTGCGTTTGGCTATCTTGTTTTAGATATCGACGGTGGAAGGATCGGCACTGAAATGCGCGCCCAGGGATTCAATTTTTCACACCGTGGTGGGAAACCAGCGCCAGCAACTGCCCCAGCTCCGCTTGCACAACACACTACAGTTTCTCCCATCAGCGGTGGAGCTACTGGTCCTGGAAGTGCCACAGGTGCTCCCTCTAGTCAGGTGAGGCCGCCGCCTCAATTTGGTCAAATGCAAGCGCAGCCCCCTCGCGGCACTGGTTCTCAATATCAGCCTCCCGTTTCTCAAGTGCAACCCCCGTTGCCAAAGCCAACTCCACCGAAATCAGCCGCTTCTCCTGTGCCTGTAATCCCAGCGAAAGAAAAGCCGGGCACTCCACAGCCAGCTGTTCCAAATGTTCCTGCATCTGGAAACGGCGCGTCCGCGAAGCCCGCATCAGAACCGAATGGAACCATCCATGCAAGCAAGCCCACCGAATCGGCGCCAAAACCTGCCTCTCCTGCGGAAAAGAAAATAATCAACGGCCTCTTCATTTCGAATGTCGATAACGAAGAAGCCATCCGCAAACTATTCCCCGACGAAGACAGAGCTAAGATTCTCAAAATTGAAAAGCTGGGTAAATACAACAACCATGTTGTCTCATTCCCAACTATGGAGGATGCAAAAGCAGCTCTAGAGAGACAACCACTTGAACACAAGAAACCTAGCCCACCTGGACCCAACCGTAAACCCAATGTGAAGATGTTTGAAGATAGAGGCGGTCGTCGCGATGGCCAAGGCAACGCTGGAACCTGGCAAGCAAGCAATCGTGGCGGTGGCACCGGTGGTCAACGAAGTGGATATCAGAGCGGAAGCGCCACTAGTGACGGTGAGAGCGGACGAGGCCGTGGTGGATTTGGTGGTCGCGGACGAGGCCGTGGAAATGATCGAGGTGGACGTGGACGGGGAGGAAGGACGGGAGGATTTGGCAAAGGTCCCTCAGGACCAGGCGAATCCGGATCGCCAACGCCTACATCCGTGGGTGGTGACAAGCCAACTGAATCCTAAAAAACGTGCCGTGTGCTTGGAATTGTCACGAACTCCCTTCAACTTCTAGTGATATCCCTTTACCTCTGCTATTTGCCCGGACATTATTGACGAACTTGTATTATCCACCATTAAATTTCTCGCCTTTTTTTTGTGGTTTTCTACTTTTTTTCTTTTTATCTCCTCCTTTTACTTTACGATGTGCTTCTAGTATGTTTTAAATACCTCTTCGACCTCAATGACGGGCTGTCTTAGTTTATGGAAATGTTGAAAAGACCTTTATTCTTTTTGTACGTCCTCCTTCGCCTCTCGAATCTCATCGACTGAAGCAAGCAATTTTGACGGTAGTTCACACATGACTCTCACCAGGCGGAAGAGGAAAAAGCGGGTGTTTCTCCCGGTGTCACAGTTGATAGCGTTTGGGTCATTTTCCGATGATTAATTTTTTCATAAATGTACTTTATCAGTTTACCCATTAAACAGTTTCCTCCTTTCTCCGTGTTTCTTGCTTTGTGATGGTTTTCTCTTTGCTCTCTTTGCGTTTTGATAATGAGATCTGGGGTTGGTTAGATGTTGATTTGAGGGGAGAGGAGGCTTCAGTCTGCAGGGTTCGATGGGCAACTTTCACGCAGCTGCGTAACTATATTGTATGGGGAACGTGGCTCATTTGAAATGGTCATGGAGCTGGAGAGGAACGAAAAGCAATAAAATGAATCAACAACTCCTTTGTTGGGTCTCAACGATCCCTGTCAACGCCTGCGATTTCGACTAATGTTTATCAGAA